CATTTTTTTTGTATGTTAAAGTCAATTAACTGAACTGTGCTTACACCAAAAGATATTCAGTTCTAGMTGTTCATTCAATGATGTATTTTCTGGGAATTTCATTAAAATCTATGCAGTGGTCTAGAAGATATTTTGCAAACAATCAAACAGGACTGACCAAAAGTTTATGTCAYATACTGTATTTAAGCAAAACCATTGCGCATAGTACAGATTGTGTTACATGAATGTGATGGGGTTGATGCTCAGCTACCACTGCACCAAATCTTAACTGAATATGTGTAAAATATTTGAGGCCGTTTTGTTGTGGCAGCCATCTTATAATGGGCTGACTCTAGAAATTATACAGTTCTAGAATTCAACCTAATACTTTCTAAGAGCTTCAGTTAAATCTGTTCAGTGGTTCATGAGATATTTTGCTAACAATACAAGTAAAGACATGCCTATACATGACTTAGGCAAAAATGTTATTGCTCTGCTTTTGTGGGGACCAATTAAAAAAGATAAAAGTTACGTATTTGAAACTGTCAACAGACATTAATGTTATTTTTTTGTCATTTCATATTCATTTTCATGTGTCATTTGTTTCTGATCAAAGCGACTTTGATGAGAAACTGACTGTTGCTTTGAGAAGTTGACTCGCTGCAAAAAAAAAAAAAATCTAAAAGGAATATCTGAGGTATCCATTACTCAAAACAGCTCTGACGTTGTGATAGCCCAGTCCTGATCCCTTTCATCTTGTTCATAATTCCTGAGGTTATTATGAGTTGAATATTAGAGGCTGCCTCAATGGAGTCATCGTAATTATAGCTTTTATGCATGGGAAGGTACATTTTCAGAGGTAATTTGAAGGGCTCAAAAAAAAAGGGGGGGGGGCAGGGATGGATGGGAAATATTTGATTGTGTGAGTCTCCCCACAAACCCCCMCTTTACCACACAACTATTCCTACTGATGGCATTATCATAGCTATTAACAGCAGAGGGAGCTTCAGTTATGCAAATTACAACAATGTTTGTGACAAGATGAACTTCTCATTCTCCCTCTTTTTAATATTGTCTGTCATGGATCATTGCTTTTTTGACTCATTTCCAGAATGCCCCCTATAACCTCTAGAAACTTTCTTTTTCTTGACGCTSCTAGTCTTACAAAGAAAATTGTGGCCTTAGTTTCACCACTGCAATAAACGACCAATCTTTAAAAAATAAAACACCTATAAATTTTTTTGGTATCAAGTCCTCTTTCCTGATTAAACCAAAGACAAAACAATAGGCTAAAGCTGATTTCAGCATAAAAATGAAACATGATAGTTCATAACGACTCACTGTATTTTATTTTAGTGATGGAACAGATCCAAACTCTGCATCTCAATAATATCAGACTGCAATGTTGGCTCTGTGAGCCTGTGAGATTAGACCTGGAGCTCATTAGAATGCCCCTTTTTTTTGGCGGACATTTATAAATCAGTAAAAAAAAAAGAAACAATAAAAATTTAACTTATAAATGTGAAAAAAAAAAATCTGATTAATGGTTGCGCTGATATTAGGGATTAAGATGCAGGCTAYATGTAAGCTTATGGGACTATTCCTCTGCAGAGATACTTAGTCAACCTGCTTTCTTGATTTAGTGCCTTCTGTTGTTACACTAAATGCCGATGTTATGTCCATAATCCATTATGTGTCATCTGGTGTAATTCAGCAGCACCATGCGAACATGTCATCCCAGAGAAATATATGTCATTTCCATGGTTACGGCTGTACAGCCTGTCAAGCATTATGTAGGCTAAGTCAAAAGGCTTAGAGCAGCATAATGCAGGGGGAACTGCTCTAAAACAAACTTTGCTAAGTCCTCTGTCTCCACGTGTGTGTGTGTGTGTGTGTGTGTGTGTGTGTGTGTGT